CACATAAGCAAAAAGAAAAAAGCCGGAAGTGGCACTGTGGCTCAAGTGGTAGAGCACTAGCCTTGAGCTGAAGAGTTGAGGGACAGCGCCCAGGCCCAGAGTTCAGGCCCCATGACTGGACCCCCCCCAAAAAAAGAATGGCCTCTTCACCACTGAACTGCTAAGCAATTCGAGAGGTCAAAGTACCTCTGTGTGCCTCAGCAATTTCTGACCTCTGTATCCTTACTCAAAATGCTAAAGTCATTGTACTATTACATTTTATGAGTATCATATGGTTTTATATATTTTAAGATAAAGGAATTATGAATACAAAAGTTCAAATTCCTTATACTCAGGTCTCCAAAGAATGCTGGATGTTTCTAGCATTGTGTTCCCAGACAGAAATAACAAAAAACTACAACATGGGCCCCAAGTGTTAAGTCTCAGATGGATGCCAAACTGGATTTTCTGGAAGGTCTTCTGAGTGCTTCAAGTAAACTAGTTTTATTCCCAGCTGCTTCTGCTCACATGAATAATTCTGGCTCTGTTTAGACAAATTATAAAAAGAAGTTTGTCAAGGAGAAAGGGAAGTCCAACTACTCCATCATGCAGGAGCCTCCAGAGGTGAAACATGCCATGGAAGTGGCCAAGAAGCAGAGTGACGTATGTGTCCCCTCCCGACATTCTCTGGGGCCCACCAGGGAAGCAGGTCCCAGATTGGTCCCAATACCCTATCTAGTGGTGGTCACCATAATTTCTATATTTACTAATTGCAAAAACATGGTAGTAGGCTCAATGTCTCTGTGCCTCTGATCATATAAAATAGTATTTATTGAAATGAACTTCAGGAAATAGAAATACAAGAGGGGTTTGGGATTTTATTTGTTTTTTGGTTTCTTTTTGTCTGACCTGTTCATTTATGTCCTTCAGAGGGTCAGGGGGGCACAGAAATGGAGGGGCAAAGAGTGAACAAATGCAATAGTGATTCTTACTAGACTGTATATTGAAAATGAACTATACGACGTGGGTGGGGATGGGAGGGAAAAACAGGGGAAAAGCAAGGGAAGGGGTGATGAAAAGAAATGTACTCTTTACCTTGTGAAATGGTAACCTCTCTGTACATCACTTTTCATAATAATAAAAAATATTAAGATAAAAATGACGGTGAAAAATGTTAAGACAGAGTATCTTGAGTGAGTAAGCATTTTCTTCCTCAAATAAAGGTCGCTTACAAAAAAGATGCCAAAGACAGCCTGCATTACACCACAGTGGCTGATAGGCCAGACATCAAGAAAGCCACACAGGCAGCCAAGCAAGCCAGTGAGGTAAGGGTAGAGTTAAATATTCCTGATCCCCAACAGACACTGTCAACAGGGTATTTACCTTCAAGGTATCATTGCCCATTGTGGTTTTTCTGGATCCAGGTGGAGTACAGAGCTAAGCACCGCAAGGAAGCCAGCCATGGACTAAGCATGCTTGGTCGCCCAGACATTGAGATGGCCAAGAAGGCAGCCAGGCTAAGCAGCCAGGTAACACATGCAGATGGCCAAGTGCTGATGCTAATATACCTTACAGAGAAGTGATTCCCAGCATGAATGTGCAATATTAACAACCAAAGGGACCCGAGGTCTTTACTTACACTGCAGATCTTTGTAAAGTTCAGAGGGCTTTGTCTTGTCCAGGCTGTCCTGATGCTCCACTTTACGGATAGTCATCTAGGAGTCTGTGTTTAATTGTCCTAGTCTGGAGGATAAATTTTATGAGCTCTCTATGTATCACACATGCATCTTCTTTGATATGTATATTTTCATTATTCTTTATATATTCATTTGTCTTCAGTTCTCAAGTTAGTTGATGTTCAGGATTGATTCAGATGCTTGCATTTACTGTTAGGTTAAATACCGAGAAAATTTCGACAAAGAGAAGGGCAAGACACCAAAATACAATCCGAAAGACAGCCAGCTCTACAAAACAATGAAAGATGCTAATAATCTTGCAAGTGAGGTATGTTTTTAAATTCTGGCAAAGATAGCCATACTACTCTATTTTAGCCATGTATATTTGTATAATTTAGTAGTGTTGAATATGTTAATCATTGCTCAGATATCCCTATACTATTTCCTAAACTTTTTTCATCACCACAAAGAAAACCTGTCAGTTCCTACTTGCTCTCAACTCTTGATAACCTCTACTTTCTGTCTCTTTGGGCCTACTTACTTTACAGATTTCATTTCATTACAATAACGGTAGTTGCCTTTTTCTATCTGGCTTATTCTAGAATTTTCAAGGTTCATTCATATTGTAGCATGTATTGAGTTTATTTAATTTTATGGCTGAATGTATAATTTTGGCCACCTTGTACATGGAAGCTTGAGGGTTTTTTTTTCCACCTTAGGCTATTGTGAATGGGATGTAATTTGTTTGGTGTTATATATATATATATGTGTGTGTATATATATATATATGTATATATATATATAAAACTATTACATTTATACAATCATGGATTCCTTACTGTGATTTTCTAGTTATATGATTTTTCTAGTTATATGATTTTTATGCTATTTTCTAGTTATATGATTTTTCTTTTGTTCTTTTCCTCTTGAACATATAGGTTAAATATAAGGCCGACCTGAAGAAACTTCACAAACCTGTGACTGACATGAAGGAATCTCTGATAATGCATCACGTCCTGAACACAAGTCAACTGGCCAGTTCTGTAAGCTGGGTCACTTGTTCCAGAGACAGCCTGTCTCTTCCCCCTGCAAACCAATTCCTTCTCTGAGCTCATGTACTCTGCTGCACTGCTACGCATTACTTGATTTATTACGAAGTTGCTTCTATTTGAGGGCATTACACCAAATTGCAACATTGATCTTTTACATCTCCATCAATAATAATACCTCTCAGAATGTAAAAATGCTTCTACTTAGACAGGGGTATAGTTCAGTGGTACAGACACTGGTTAGCATGTTCAAGGCCCTGGATTTGATGCCAGCACACACATACAAAGAAAGTTGTTTTGTTTTGCCAGTCCTGGGGATTGCACTCTGGGCCTGGGTTTCATCTCTGAGTTTCTTTTGCTCAAGGTGAGCACTTGAGCTGCAGCACCAGTTCTATCTTTTTCTGAGTAGTTAATAGGAGATAAGAGTCTCACAGACTTTCCTGCCTGGGCTGACTTGAACTGCAATCCTCAGATCTTAGCCTCCTGAAGTAGTTAGGATTACAGGTGTGAGCCACCTGCACCCAGCTAGAAAGACATTTTTACTTTTAGAATATTTTGGCTTTTTTTTTCTAACTGGTGCTCTACCACTTGAGCCATACCTCCACTTCTGCCTTTTTGTTGGTTAATTGGAGATGAGTCTCTCAGGTTTGTCTATGCATGCTGGTTTCAAACCTTAAGCGCAGATCTGTTTCCTAGGTTGCGAGGATTATAGCTATGATCCTCTGGACCCCAGTCATTTCTTATTTATAAAACCTTAAGACTACTTGACATAGTTATCTTCCACTTTTAGAGTTTTAATTGTTTTATTTATTAGCATGAATTGGTTTTACAAAGGGGTTTTATTATTATATTTCTGTACATGTAGACAATGTAACCTGATCAAATAGAAGAGTCATAGAAGAGGTCTTCATGACTCTCCCTCTTAAAACAATTTAAATAGATTTCACTGTTCTATTTTTTGTTTTAATTTTATTGTCAAAGTGGTGTTCAGAGGGATTACAGTTACATAAGTAAGGTAGTGAATACATTTCTTGTCAAACTTGTTACCTCCTCCCTCATACTGTTCTATTTTCATACAGGCTTATAATCACTGTTAGCCTTTAACTACACCTAACTTTGGAAAAGCCATGCAAACAGTGTTCATGTCTAGTATTAATGGACAATACTGAACTTGGATCTTCATCTTTTAAGATTTTCCTTGCAACATCATATCTCCACACAAGTTGGTGCTTGCTTATCTCAGTTTGCTTTTAACCATGATGCTGTCAAAGTGCCCAAGGAGGAAAAATTTGGAATATCAAGCATTTTCACCTGTTGCCTCTTCTGCCCCCTTTCCCCTCAGTACCAGTACAAGAAGAACTATGAGAAGAGTAAAGGCCATTACCATACCACACCTGATAATCTGGAGCAGCTTCACCTAAAAGAGGCCACAGAATTACAGAGCATAGTAAGTTCATCAAGATTGGCTTTCCCAGAACCCCACATCTATTTATCTACAATGTCAAAAACATACCATGGATTTTGTATTAAGAATGATGCTTTGCTGGGCACCAGTGGCTCATGCCTGTCATCCTCGCTACTTAGGAGGCTGAAATCTGAGGCTCATAGTTCAAAGTCAGCCCAGACAGAAAAGCCCATGAAATGCTTATTTCCAGTTAATCACAGAAAACATCAGAAATGGAGTTGTGGCTGAAGTGGTAGAGTGCTAGCCATGAGCACAAAATGCTCAGGGGAGTAACATTCAGGTCTTGAGTTCAAGCTCAAGGACTAGCACAGAGAGAGAGGCAGGGAGGGAGGAAGGGAGCAAAAGGGAGAGGGAGGGGGGAGAGAATATGAGACTTTAAAGGCTATTGTTTGAGATAAGTACAAAGGTAGAGGGACTCCAAATTCCCTAACCATTGAAAACTGTTAGGTACAAGCATTTATAATAGTGGGGAAATATACCTGCTATGTTCTCTGCAGGTTACTAGCAGGGCTAGAAGCATTAAGACTGTTCCAAAGAACACAACAACCCTGATATACTCCTCTGATCTGGGCCAGATTAGGAAACAGAAATGAATGATAGATGGTGAGGAGACGTTGGAAAACAGAAGTAACACTACCAGGTTTGCCACTGAAGAAGTTCTTAGGTATATAAGAAATTACTGAACTTGTAAAATGACTGGTGATTGTTGTCAACATTATTTAGATCTCTTTTTGACATTACCTAGAGAGCTAAATTACTAGAAAGTTCCTGTGGAAAGCAATCTATGCCCCCAGGCCTCCTAAGGTCTTCTTAGAACAAAAAAAAGAGCTGAATATATGGGATATCATCACGAGCCTTTGCCTTTCTGCCTTTCCAGTTTCTCCACTATATAATATGAATGCTCAATTACATGGTGTAAGGATCAGAGAATTTTATTTATATAATAGCCTTAGGAGTCTTTTCTGAGAATGTCTGATTGATTAGAAATTCAGTTGACCTATAAACTAGTTTTCCTATCTATGTAAATTTATATTGGCTACATTAAATAGCCATTGATGATCCCGAGAGTTGTTTACTTATGAAACTACATGTATTATTACAACAAGACTCACTCCAGATCCCTAATAAAAACTCCTGTTCAAGAAAAATTGGATGGGGCTGGGAAGGTGGCTCAGTGGTAGAGCGCTTGCCTTGCATGCTCGAGGCCCTGGATTCGATTCCTCAGCACCACATAAGCAAAAAGAAAAAAGCCAGAAGTGGTGCTGTGGCTCAAGTGGTAAAGCGCTAGCCTTGAGCTGAAGAGCTGAGGGACCGCGCCCAGGCCCAGAGTTGAGGCCCCATGTCCGGACCAAAAAGAAAAAAAAAGAAAAAGAAAAATTGGAGCTGGGTGCTAGTGGCTCATGCCTGTAATCCTAGCCAACTAGTGGGCTAAAATCTGAGGATCAAAGCCAGCTCAGGCAAAAAAGATCCATGAGACTCTTATCTCCAGTTAACCACTCGAAAACTGGAAGTGGAGCTGTGGCTCAAGTTGTAGAACACTGCCTTGCACAAAAAAGCTCAGAGACAGCACCCAGGCCCTGAGTTCAAACCCTGTAAACAACAAAAAGAGAAAATAAAAATTGGAGATTTTCTTTTTTTAAATCAGAGATACTGGCTAATGTTGAAACCAGATTTTTAAACCTCGTGGGAATTTTAGGAGTTCCATAACAGGTCTTGCCACTTACTCCTATATAGCAAATAAAGAGACATGGTGAAAAGTGAAGGAGGAAGGTTTATTACATGGCACAGGCATGCCATGGGTGATAACACTTTAGTATATCTTCAGACATCTTCAGGGACTAGACAGAGCCGGGGGCAGGGTATGAAAGGTAGTCATGGGTAGCTTCCCAATCACAGGTGAGGCCTGTTTGACTGTTATTTTGGAAAGATTCCAGGATAAACAAGACATCATTGCCTGGTGGATGGTCTGTCCTGAAGAAAAACTCTATCACTGGTATTTTTACCCATCTTTTGCCATAAGGATGTTATCTTATCAGTCTTGCCTTCCTGGAACCCAAGGTGATTGCAGTATGACTGCAGAGCGAATGAGCTTAAAGCAAACACACACATAAAATGGAGGCAGTGACACCGAGCTTTTCTCTTGCTTTTAGTTAACATGGAGCCCCAGCAAAAGCACCTTTTAAGCACTCCTCCAATGCTATTTATTGTTAAAATGTCCACAATCAAACTTTAGCCAATCTTAGGTATGAGTATTTAACAGCAACATTTACATCAGCTAGTTGTCAGTGATTGTTTGGGTTCCTTGGATCTAAATATTGATTATGACTTTCAAACAGCAATCGTCCTCCCCACAGGCAACAACAAAAAAAGTGCTGAATCTGAAACACAACAGGAAAACTGTTATGAGTGGCAATGAAAAGGGGCTAATTAGACAAAACTTACCAATCAAAACATCTTGACTTTAAACCGGTCTCAGTCTAGGAGATGTTCAGCAAGATTTCTAACAAGACTTTCCATCAATAGGTGAAATACAAAGAAAAATATGAAAAGGAACGAGGAAAGCCTATGTTGGACTTTGAGACTCCGACATACATTACTGCCAAAGAGTCTCAGCAGATGCAGAGTGGGGTAAGTTCTCCCAAAACACCCCAGACAGTAAACTCATGAACACTACCTCTGCCACAAACATATCCAGCCTCCTGTTGTCCAACGTGGCAGAACTTTTGAACATGTGATCATGAAGATCTTTCTCATTGCAGAAATTCTACAGTTCATCTACATATTTAAAAAAATTCTAAGTAGTAGATATTTTCCACATTTCCATAACCATTTTCATAAAATTAGAACCAAGCAAACTATTCCTAACACTGGGAGGGTGGGGAAATAGCCTGAATTGAATTTTTCTCTGATAAATTAAAAAGTTCCCTCCATAGACAGATGCATCCCTGGCTTTGGAATGATGTCCACTATAATACACACCTCAGGTCAAACAAAAAGGGACCAGGGGAATCAAAACTTTGGCAAATCAAAAGTCAAAGTATCACATTTCCTGTTCTAGAATTGTAAGTGGATGGGCTGGGAAGGTGGCTCAGTGGTAGAGTGCTTGCCTTGCATGCCTGAGGCCCTGGGTTCGATCTTCAGCACCACATAAGCAAAAAGCAAAAAGCCGGAGGGGCGCTGTGGCTCAAGTGGTAGAGCGCTAGCCTTGAGCTGAAGAGCTGAGGGACAGCGCCCAGGCCCAGAGTTCAGGCCCCACGACCGGACCCCCCC